ACGGGTGGCCCAGTCGTCTAAGGCGCCGCGATTCGCTGTGCAGAGTTGTGTCCCTTGGGCATGTCAGAAACCTATGATTGTGGGTTCGAATCCTGGTTCGCCCCGATTATGTTTCTAGGTTTGTCAGCACCATACCCGTGCTCGTGGGTTTCACCGAAGTGGTAAACGTCTGAGACCTGCATCACTTCGGGCTTTCCTCCCACATTAGGCTGACACGCCGCGATATAACTGGAATACTGTTAAAAGCGGCGTTAAACCCAACTCACTCACTCACTATTTCACAATAGAACATTGTTCTTTCATGGCATCATTTCTGGAGATTCGAATAAGCGCTCGCAACTTAATGACGTCATATACTGGACAAAGTTGTTTTTGAGAGAGAAGTGTCTTGTAAGTTGTTCGCCATGGTTGTAGCTGGGCTACGCAGATAAAGGCAGTGGCCTATCAGTATCAGGAGAAAAAAACAGATAATGGACATGAGGATTGTGAGAATATGCGTGAAATACCAACTTAACCCACCTGTTCGTAAAACGTACTTGTCCGACATTTCCAGGGTGGGATTCTGTTCAGGGAGTCATTATTAAGAAAAAAAAATTTAAAGCTTGTACATTTTATCAACATCCTTAAAGAGGTTGAACATAATGTTGATATCTCATATAAGAAATAAACGTCTTGTGGTTGTTGTTTATCGTACAATGAAACACTGCAGGGAGAATAAACCACTTGGGGCTGTGCCCCCTCATGGTTTATTCTCCCTGCAGTGTTGTATTGTACGATAAACAACTCCCACTCATCAATTATTTCTTGAATAAGAGAGGACAGATTGACTCACAATCATGATGGAATAATATTTAGGTTACCAGTACACTTCCTGTTGCTATTGTTGCTGTGAGAAATGAAAAGCTGCATTTACGGTAATGTTCTTCCTGGACACATGATGACGTAAACATCAAGTGTTGCTGACGTTGATCTTGAATGTCACACGCTCACTCTGTGTCATGATCCAGTGCCTATAGATCATGATGTAATAACGCCCATCCAACACTGCTAGTGTTTCAACTATGCAAGTGAGTGACCATGTGTTGTATGCTGTAGAAAGTAATATTCCAGCCTTCTTGCAGAGGGCTGTGTATAATCAGTCTGGATCTGGGCCAGGCAAACAAGAGGTTGAGAGTTAGAAAAATGAGTGCTGTCATCAGGGTATCACATCAAGCCTTTATATAAATACAGGCCTGTGATCTCCTGAAAACCAATATGACCTAAAGTAAAAATCACATCAACAACTGGAGGGGCTAGACAGATTGCTGACCCTAGTGAACATCGACCTTCCTTGTACAGAATGTTGCTCTTCCTAGTAGTTTGTGTCTCTCGGGCTTGACGTGAATATCAATAATGAAATAAAGGTAAACATTTCTGACTGTATAGATAATCCTCCTACAGGTAATGTAAAGCCTCTAATCTTCCCATCTGGAAAGAATATAACATTTCATTCAGCCTCTATTAAAACCCAAAATATTCATATTTTTTTTTTAGTGGTTGTATAGTACTTGTGATGACCTAAGATCTAACACACGTCATACACCTGTCATCGTGACCGATTAAGGATAACTTTTGTCTGAATGAACATTTAATTTCAAAGGCTAATTACCATGTAGCCTCAAAATATTGCCTTAAAAAAGAAGTTGTTTGTTTGTTGTTTAACACCGTACTCAGCAATATTCCGGAAACATTCATATGTTACAATATAAACAGAAGTGTTATTAATAATATCCCTGGGATTTTATACCATCCCTGTTTATGAGATTTACGCCGACTGAAGAACAATAGGATGATGTCACTGGAAGTTTAACACAGGATAGAGTGATATCAGTCAGTGCCTATGATCTTTCAGCGAATATCTTAGAATGAAAGTTATAAGTTAACCCTGGCTTAACATGCAGCCAGGGGGCACGGGTGGCCCAGTCGTCTAAGGCGCCGTGATTCGCTGTGCAGAGTTGCGTCCCTTGGGCACGCCAGAAACCTATGATTGTGGGTTCGAATCCCGGTTCACCCAGATTATGTTTCTAGGTTTGTCAGCACCATACCCGTGCTCGTGGGTTTCACCGAAGTGGTTAAAGTCTGAGACCAGCATCACTTCGGGCTTTCCTCCCACATCAAGCTGACACGCCGCGATATAACTGGAATGCTGTTAAAAGTGGCGTTAAACCCAACTCACTCACTCACTCACTCACTCACTAACATGCAGCCAATACGTTACTTTGTTTTGTTTGTTTGTTGTTTAACGCTGCACTCAGCAATATTCCAGCTATATGACAGAGGTCTGTAAATAATCGAGTCTGGACCAGACAATCCAGTGATTGAAATCAAGAGCATCGATCCACGCAATTAGGATACGATGACATGCATCAACCAAGTCAGCGAGCCTGACCACCCGATCCTGTTAGTCGCCTCTTACGACAAGCATAGTCGCTTTTTACAGCAAGCTACACCTATTCTACCCCAGATCTTCATGGATCCAATACTTGGTTATATCTATGGGGACTTGAAATGCAAAACAACAACCAATCACACTCAGCATTCCTACAACTAAACACTGCAAGGGCTTCTTGACACTTGACTCATTTAATGACTCTTCTACAGCTCACACACAAAGGCATTCTAATATTTTTCAGTTAGATTTCATTACATATGTAACTTTAACCATAAGAGCAGAATCCTTATTTTTTACGGGTTTAACTAGGTGCAATATATGGCATCCTGTACACATAGAAATGAGGAAATGGACACAAATAATATCAACTCCAACACCCATTTGATGGAGATGAGTATGGATGGTGGAGTGAGTGAGTGAGTGAGTGAGTGAGTGAGTGAGTGAGTGAGTGAGTGAGTGAGTGAGTGAGTGAGTGAGTGAGTGAGTGAGTGAGTGAGTTTGGTTTTACGCCACTTTTAGCAATATTCCCACACAAAATATGGGCTTCATATATTGTACCCATGTCGGGAATCGAACCCGGGTTTTCGGCATGATGAGCGAACACTTTAACCACTTGGCTACCCAATATTGGAATGACTGATACAAATTAGACTGAAACATGTAGGTAAGATTTATGTGATTGTTCAGTCCTCGTAAGATATACAATCAATGTTCAGAGAGCCTATGTTTCAATTCAAAGGAAATCCCCATCTGTTGCAAACATAAGTTATTCTGTTTCAGTGTTTAAAATACCACCCTCCCCAACAGTCGGAGATGGTCTATATTACTGACGGACGGTCAGGTTTGAAAACTTGCACACCCGCTGGTCGGATGTCAAAGTTACTAAGCTGACAGTCCACCAGTTTGTTGTTATTTTCTGGGAACAAACATTAAACGGTAATAACATGTTTACCCTTTTGTTACTTTTTTTTCATTAGCCTAAAAAATTCTTGAAAGGCAACATTTTATCTGGTCTGATAACTTTGCAATGTTCAGTGGGACCCCTATTTTGATGTCAAGGCCCCCAAAATCTGGACTCGACAGTCCCCAGGTCTCGTACATATATAGACCAAGGGAAGTCCCTGGTTTTATTACCTCTCCATAGATCTGGTTAGAAATGGCATGCTTTTATGATAATATAATGATAATTATAACAATGATAATAATAATTATAATTGAACTAATATAGCGCACACTTCACACTGCTCTGTGCAGCAGCATATCGGCTTTCAGTTGTGGTTTTCGATAAACAGTAAACTACGTTTATAACGAACAAGCTTATAACAAACTGACGGATATGACAAACTTATTTTTTTGTCCCGGCCATTTGCTGTATATGCTGTACATATGCTTTTAACAAACTACAGTTATTATGAACTAAAATTAGTGGCCCCGCCCTTTGAGTTTGATAAAACTGTAGCTTACTGTATGTATACTTCTGCTCTAAACGTACAGATTTTGGTCCTTGGATGCACATAATTTATACAGGTGTTTATTTGTATCCATAATGTTGATATACAAAACAAAGTATCTGCTTGATATATACACTTACATATATACACTCAGGTGTTAGGAGAGTTTCATTTTAATGGTCCCCCCTAACATTTGTTATCTGCTATTATCATGATTATAGCTAAAAAGGATAGAATTATAATTAAACCGCCCGCATGTTATCAGAAATTAGCTGTCCACTGCAACTTGATAATGCCCTCATATTGCTTGACAACGGGCCATTATCCCGCCCTTTGTTAGCTGACGTCATATTGATGTTCAATAGTGACGTTATCTAGTTTGTTCTATGACGTTTCCATATTTGTAAAAGTGGGTCAGTGACATTCGTTGCGTGTTGATTGCAGTAAATGTTTCAAAACCGATATAATTCTATCCATTTTAGCTATAATAATGGCAAATTATCATTTGCAGAAGCCCTCAGTCTTTTCTTCGTCAGGCAGTTAATAGAAGACCATGGGCTTCTGCAAATGTAATGCCCTGAAAAATAGCGTTAACCTTCTAACAAACTTAGTGCGTTATGACCTGGCCTACTTGTGGTGATACCAAGACATGCATTGGCACACGCACCACCGGTATTCAATGACAACACTGTTCACTGTGATCCACCCTTAACCAGAGGGGTCGGCTCAGGCCTGTAGATTCCCATATCTGAGACACACAGGCATATATAGCATTCCTTTGCATGTCAATATATTGTCCATCTTCTGATAAAAGTTTGTATGAAAAAAATCGCAATTTTGATAGAGCCTGTCTAAATCTTTTAACATTAGTTTGTTTGTTTGTTGTATAATGCCACACTCAGCAAAATTCCAGCTATATGACAGCAGTCTGCCAATAAATCCAGTCTGGACCAGACAATCCAGATATTGATATCATGAGCATTGGTCTACACAAATGGGATACGATGACATGCATCAACCAAGTCAGCAAGTCTGACCACCTGATGCCATTAGTCACCTGTTACGGCAAGCAATGGTACAAGACTAACTGTTCAAAACCAACTGACTACACAGCTTACATTGTTCCCAGTCTGTCATGGCTGCTGCATACCGTGACCTGTCATCCTCAGCTAGAACCTTCTGCACTCTCCAAATCTGCAGACAAAAAAAGTAATCACTCACATGACAGCCCACCTTTGACCAACACATCAGCCAACCAGAGGTAAACAACAACCCTGAGATAAGATACGGCCAAGTTATTTCAAACAATCTTCAAAGCATATCATTACAACAGGCCTTTCATTGTTTACCTGTGTAGGAAACGAACGAATATTCAATTAACAGGCCTTGAAATACTTTCTTGTGAAATAATAATGACAACAACAACAACAACAACACTTGTAATAGCACCAACATTCACACAGTAAAGCACTTGTCCGAGAGTGGTGCGGGGAGTCGGGAGCATACAGCTGAACAGAAAGGTTCACTGTGGTTTTGGGATCCCGAGTCAGAAATGAAACAGAGTTAAACATTCAACAGAAAAACCATCAGGCCTTTCAAAGCATCATCTAGGTATGTGTTGTATTTATATCAGGCAACAACAAGAACATATCTGAGGACCATGTGTGTATATTTATGATTAATTCTATCATAAATAAAAAGGACTTGAGCAAACCATCTGACTTGTGATTTTGAGAGAGAGCTACATCATCCCTAGAACCAAGGAGTAGTTGATAAGAACAAGTGACCAAAGGTAGAAGGGTAAAGTACCCGGAACCTAAGGTTACACTAATACGTACACACACCAGATGTAGTTATATACTGGTCAACAACCAGTGAAGAACGTGACACAAACATTCCATCAACATAACAGAAGTGGTTGTGCATCAACACATGTTGATATCAGGGACATGAGTGATAATGATGTGCCCTGTGGACAAAACTGGAGCCCTGCTCCAAGGAATATGAACACGGAGGAGCATAGGGTGTCACAACCACAATTATGGAACATTTGTTGACAATGAGGTAGGACACATTTTAGTATGTCTGAGAGTCTTGCGAGATCTATGCAATGTTTTCAATGCTGTAGGATAGGGCACCTAAGCAGATTCTGTTTTTCTAATTAAACCAAACGTGTGCAAGGGTTAACAGGGGCAGTGCTACATGAAGATTTGAGGCTGCTGCCAATATAGCAAATACTGATTTTGATAATGTTGATTACATCATAGGCCACACTTTTACAATGAGAAATAATACAGAACCAGATCATAGAAATGATAAGTGATTTGAGCGAGGTTGTTGTTTTGGAATGTAGTGTGGGCTTATCTCACAGCAGTATTAGGGTTAAGATATCTGGAAAGACTTACAGTGTCCTATGTGACTCAGGTGAAACTTGAGCTGTATGAATTCAAATGTATTCTCATCTATTGGAGGTGAGTGTAGATTTCCTATAACAAAGTGAGGTGCAGGGTCATTGGTTGGTGCAGATGGGAAACCATTGGATGTGTTGGATGTGTCTACAATTCCTCTTACAGATAGTCAGCTATGTGTTGTACAGAACTTTCAGGTCTTTTTAGCCTTATCAATTGATGTGTTGTTAGGCTTAGATTTCTTGAGAAGCTAGAAGGCTGACATTGATGTTAGCCATAATAGCTTGACTTTGTGGGATGGACTTACAGAGACAAAGTTCATTGCCTATACAGATTATTCCAACTTTGTTATATGTATTTGTGATGAGGTACTACCACCACACACTGAAACTTTGTTGCCGGTGTATATTAATGACCCAGACATAAAGTCAGGCGTCGTCAATCCAATTGAGTCTATTATAGAATAGTAACACATGTTGGGTGCTAGATGTCTCACTTCATCTGCCAATCAAGTACCCTTGTTTAGGTTAATGAACCCTGCTAGTTCAGAGATTAAATTAGCAATAGGTGTCATTGAAGAAGTCGATATTGCCAATGTGTATGGAGAGTTAGGAGACAGTGACACCACACACACCACGCCTATCACCACAGGTGACAAAGCATTCAACCATGTTGATATTGACAGGACTCAATCATTAGGTGACAGGAATATGGATATCCAAATATGAAATGGAAGTTGATAAGTCGTAGAGGAATGCGATACCAAGTCCCATTAGCAGGTGTCTCAAAAAGAGAAGGGGTCCTAAGTGAGTTTCTCAATTCAGAAATTGTGGAGGATTTCCATGTCAGAAGAACAATGACAGGGAAGGTGAAGAAAGAAAACAAACATGTAAACAATAGAACTGCAAGTAAGGAAGTGTGACAATCATATAGGTATATCATATACGGAGGATATGTAGATCCAAGGTTATAATAACAAGTTGGTTTTAGTCCCAAGTTATAGTGTCATGTGTCAAAGCAAATAGGTACCCAGATAGGAAATCAAGGATGATCGAAAGTCGTAGAGGTAACATGCCTACGCAGATATGAAATGATGAAAAGGACGTAGAGGTAACATGCCTACAAAGATATGAAATGATGGTAAGTCGTAGAGGTCACATGCCTACGTTATCAAGCCATGGAGGAGACATGCCCATGTAGTAATAATGTCGACAGGGACGTAGAGGAGACATGCCTACGTTATTTGAATATAAACACATAGATGAGGAAATGCCTATGCTGTTTCAAAGCTTGAAAGATCAAGTCTAGAGATGCCTGACAGTCTCTAGTGGTGAGGTAGATATGTTTCTACCTCAAGTTGCTGAGTATATTGAGGACAGTCGAAAGACTAACGATGAATTCACTCGGGACGAAGGACAGAGGGTCGATTTGTCTCGTAGCCTGGGTGAAGACCTATAAATCGGTCGTGGGATGTAGATGATTGGCCAATCATATTTGTACAGAAGAGATTTGCCTAGTCAGAAGGCTGTTGTATACCTCCTGTTGACGAGAGGGAATGTTTCAAGAGAGAACAGATGGAATATTAAAGAGTTTTTTTCATGAGTTATGATGCTGACACAGACAAAGACACAACGATAGGAGTGAAAAGGGACATACGGTTATATATTAATGGGATTGAAGATGTAACAAATCAGAAGTTGTTTAAAAACAAGGCCTTTTAACTCAAAAATATTCAACTGACCCACAAGTACAGCATATTATTGAGACATGAACTGGAACTGTATGAACATAAGCGCTGTGTTCTGTGGTTTACTTAATGTTGGTAGACATTATTTATGAGAGAGTAATATGTTGTATGGTACATTGGTGACGATCAATTGGGATTGTTGTTTATTGTTTTTCACTTAGGGAAGATATGGCTTCATAAGGATAACAGAGTAGGAACTGAGATCAGATTTAAAATCTGAGAGATAACTTGGATATTTGCGTTCTAAAGGACCCTTAGGCTTCACACTTAAGGTGTGGAACTCAGTACCATTGACAACATGCATTCCGGATATCTATCTCTGGGGTAATACCTTCAGATATATGGGACGACTTAACATACAAACAGACATGGTATCATATGTTTGCTATTGAATTGCCCAAGATATCTAACTATCCGATTATGCTTAGAGAGACGTGAGGGAATATTAGTCTTCAGGCGAATCATACGTCCTGTGATGAGAACATGAGGGCTGTATTGAATTTTACTTATCGCATACATGACGACACTTTAAACGACTTGGTTGATGGGGTCACTTTGATCAAAAACATTATTCCTCAAGGTCCAATTCCTGGTTCTCAGACTCGCTCCAAGAGAGCATTGCTACCTTTTATTGGTGAATTCTCACATAATTTATTCGGAACTGCCCATGACAGTGACGTGAACATAATACGTCAACATATCAATATCTTATCAAATAGAATGAGAGCGGAAGAAGCAGCTTTTAATGTGTCACAAGATTACATGGGTTCGTACATGTCTAAGGCCAATGACAGAATGGACGGTTTGAAGCAAGGTATAATTGCAAATCATAATGAATTGCCTGAACTAATAAAGGTGATAAGATACGATGGTTTCAGGCCATGTATGCACATTGGATACAACTGGTAGCAAAGGAATTATATTTTGCTACTATGGTTGAAAGGAAGATTAATCCGTTGAGCACAGGATTATATAAGTTGTTACAAAATGTACTATCACCCGAGTTGATACCTTTCTGACATTTAAGGCGGACTCTATTAAAAATAAGGAGAGCATTGAAATGTCACAGTTTTAGAAATTTAAGTGATCTCAGACATACTAGTGTCCTCTTGTATAAATGTTGATCTTATACTGTATTCAAGATGTTACCGTACTACATGTTTTATGTTTTTGTGCTGACCTATATGCATTTATATATAATATATATGAATGGGTACACCTACCATATGAGAAAAACATATGTTAAATTTCATAAGAGAAAATATATATGTTATATGTTACCAGTATGTTGTATATGGTGCATTGCATTGCATCTCAGGAGTTCATTGATGTTTGAAAACGTATACTGTATTGGTAGATGCAGATGTGTTCTACAATAACACTTGTGAAGAATTTTACCATTAGGAATATGTATGTTGTAGCATGTTTGATGACTTGAATATTTGTTGATAGATTGCACGTGCGATCACTGCCCAATGAGACATTTGACAATATTCTATATAGGTGCATGTCCAGTGACTTTATGATAAGTTGATGTTGTTTTGATATTGAAAAACAAAACAAAAAAAACTATTGTGATTGTTGAGTCAGGTGAGATGTTGTTTGTTTCCTGAGTATAGATGCTGAAGCTAAATTTCAACATTTACTTGTAATCTTCAGTTAAAGAGGACTTCATGGAGTGTAATGCATGAATTTAAAGTAGTTTCCTATTTGATTTACAAATGACTGAATTTTGGACAATTAACTCTTTTGGACATCAGAGTCAAAGTTTTCGCTGTCATACATGTAGGAATGAGCAACCTCATTCTATAAGATGATGGAGAGAATCATTTCTTAATAAACTTCCAGGACATTTTTGATCATTTGATATGGAGAACTTTTCCCATTGGATCGAGACCATAAGAGTCAGAGTAAGTTGAATATGTTCTAGAACATACGGACATGGAACATGTTGATGATACAGAATAGTAAGATTAAAAATTGCATACATAGAACTCTGAAACTGATCATCAGTTGGTTATTGGTGTTGTGATACTATT